AGCATGTTGCATAAAGCTTCCTCTTCAATAAAGTGTCAATCTGGGGGAGAAAAATCTTCTGCAGCTTCCTCCAGTCCTGCATCAATAGCCTCTTCATTCCCTTCTGTGTCTGCATCCTCCTGGCATAGAGGGATCCAACTCCGGTGGAGAAATAAGAGTAGGAGAAGAGTCATAACATTTTTGGGCACTCGATAGAGATGGCTGTATTAAACCTGTAATATGTCCAAAGAAAAGTGACACAGATGCACAGAATTCTGCTTTAGTCAAATAGGTTGCTTGTTGTGTGCCTGAAATATAGCTAGAATTGGATGCTGAGACTGGTGTTAGAGCCTGGGTCTTGCCCTTGTGCAAGGGACACACTGTCATACATTGTCTGTTCAAGGTTGAGTGTTGTGCAGGCCTTTGGCAAAGTAAATGTTCACCTGCAATTTAGCATTGACTCCTTTTCGCCTGGTCTCCACCATAACTACAAGCAAAGGTTATTACCCTGTGGGATACTCACAGAATAGAGTGAGTAGTATTGGGTTAGCGTGTCCGTAAGCAGTTTGTGGTGAAAGGGGAGGAGAAAGCACCTGAGTATCTTAGCGCACTAGCAGAAGTGGCATTGAAGTATGCAACCAGTGGCGTGATGTAACGTATGGTCATCCACCCAAGGCTGAGCACTGAGTGGTCCTATCTTTGTGTCAAGTTTGAAAAGTTTACACTGCAAGGTGTATACAATACAAACATAGCCCTGTTTCTAAGGTAATGGTCAGGGTTACAGGGTGACCCTGTCTTACCTTTCTATGTCTGTGGACTGTAAACAAAGTCCAGCCTTTGACTATCATGTGGGTATACCGGGCATACCCCTGAAGGGGTCTTTAGGGACTGTGTTCCATAGAGGTGGACCATGACCCTGGACCTGTATAGCACTCTGTGGCTAATTGAACACATTGCTCTAAGTGTCAAGGTAAGCGCCCATGCAGGATCCAGTGCTCAAGTCCGGCAACTGGGTGCAGATCCCAGGGTTTTATCGAGATTGTGCTGATCCTGATACACTGCTTATATGATGGCACTAAAAGACTGTGAAGGCTTGAAGAGTCAGAATATTAAATATTTAAAAAACTATTAAAATGAGTTAAGTTAAGGGTGATTTTCTCCATTAAGGAGAAAAAGTCCATTGCCCTAGCACAAAACTGAGGACTCAAAGAGTGGCATAGGCTTACAGAGTAGACAGCCAGAGAGCATGTCATCAAAAGCTTTGCCAATGTCCAATCACCTGAAGCTCTACACCTATAACTTATGGTGTATGAATACTCTGCCTGTTTTCTGTACTGTACAATTAAGATAGTAATTTACCCATGATTTCTTTGTTATGATTGTTCCACCTGGCAGCACTAGGGTTGTCAGTTCGAATCCCAACCATGGCACTACCTGTCTGGGGTATTCATGCTCTCCCTGTGCCTGTGTAGGTTTCCTCTGGGTACCCTGGTTTCCTCCCACACTACACTAGACATGCTGGTAGGTTATTTGGCCCCTGTCTAATTTGGCCCTAGTATATGTATGTATGAATTTGAGTTAAGGACCTTTGATTGTAAGTTCCTTTAGGGCAGGGACTAATATGGATGCACAATATAATATATATATATACATATATATCACTATATACGTACCTGTAAGAAGTAAATAAAATAATAGTGCATAAGGATTTAGCTCTGTAGCAGGAAACCAGCCTGCTTCTGAGGCAAAATTGTCAAAATTCGTTTGCAAATATTGTTGCAGCTCACGTCAGAAAATGAGGTAATGCAACAAACAAGCAGCAAGTGAAAGAGAAAAGCTTAAATACCTTATCCCTATATTCATTTTGGGTCAGTGACAAAAAATACTGAAGCCTGTAAGGCTGCCAGGCAACGAGCCTTTTCAAAATAAGTAAGCAAGAGCAGCCAACATATTTTTCTCAAAACAGAAAAAACAGAAGACAAGAGAACCATGATACAGAAAAGTATAGGAACACTGTCTGGGTATTAAAAATCTAACAGCATCAAAACAACTTCCTTTAAATAATATATTTGCGTTTTAATATTCCCAGAGAAATCTGAATTTCTATGGCGAAACCCCAGTATTAGCTTACTTTTGGCAAGAAAATCATAACATAAAAATAGTCCAACTGAGTCATAAATAAATAGATCATCACTCCGTCTGTTATTTCCCTGTACCGAGTGTTCTTGTGACCAATAATGACTATTAAATCTCTCCTGTACTATTAAGAGAAGGAAAGAGGTTTGTGTATCACCCAACACTGCAGTTCTCTTTGTGATAAAAGATATCATCGTAAGCATATAAAATAAGATACAACGCATATATATATATATATATATATATATTTTTTGTTTATGATGATCAAGCAGTTAAGCACAATAGTATATTACCTTAACAGCTCAGAGCATGTATTACAGTCATTATTATTATACAGTATTTATAAAGCGTCAACAGTTCAGCGCTGTACATTACAAAGGGGGACAGAACATGTGACAGTACAGTAACAGTACAATGTGATACACGAAGGGTTCGAGGGCCCTGCTCTTTCAAGTTTACAATCTAGGAGGGAGGGGATAGTGGTACAGGAGGAGATAGCTGTGGGGATGGAGTGGTAGGAAGAGTGGAGGAGGTCGGCAAATTAGCAGGGGGTGGGGTATGCTTCCCTGAAGAGGTGGGTTTTCAGGGTGCGCCTAAAGGAGAGGAGAGTAGGTGATAGTCTGATGAGTTGGGGCAGGGAGTTCCAGAGGATGGGTGACAATCTGCAGAAATCCTGGAGGCAGGCATGGGAGGAGGAGATCAGGGAACTAGAGAGAAGGAGGTCTTGTGAGGAGCGGAGTGTACGTGTTGGGTGGTACTTGGATATTAGGTCGGTGATGTAATTTTGGGCAGTATGGTGGACAGCTTTGTACGTCAGTGTTAGGAAAAAAACGTTTTGAACTTTTTTGAAATTAGGCATTTCTATGTGAACACAAAATCAGGTCAATAGGACTTGACCCTTAAAGCACCTATTCTGTATAAAAATGAAAATACAAAGTGTCTTCCAAAGGAGTGTATGCACAAGAAAAATATACTTATTTAGTAATGTCTAGTCCTGCCCTGAAATGGCATCCACACTACAGTTCTCACTCCTACACTTGCATTATGACCTCCAGCAGACCACGGCTGAATTATCTTGATATTTGTTATTATAGAGAGAAAAACCCTGTTTTTACTGCGGCAATATCAATGTATTAAAACAGGCTTTAATCTTGTAGCTAGGGGGGACACTTTTGGAGATGAAGGTGTGGAATAAAGAGAATATGCTGGGGTGGGATATGCCAAGACAATAGTTTATTTAAGAAGAAATTCTTGTGAAGTTGTGACTTTTGCAAATATTGGCTTTTCTTACTGAACTGAAAAACTATTTGCAGTATACATGCCGTGCCAATACCCTGCTGTCCTACAAAGGCGCCAATATAGAAACAGGCAAAAGTGTGTCTTTTCTAGAAAAAAAAAGGTTAGGGATATAACAAACAATGCTGAAGAAGTGTCTAAGTGGGCAATATGTGCAGGTTACAACAGGGGCAGAATATGCATGTGAGTAGGATGGAGGACTTCTAGCAGAGAGGAGCTGCACTCTACGTCCAGGTTGCAAAAGGAGACACTGGTGCTCAGGCTGGGTCTAATGTTAAACCATGCAGCCTTTAGTAAAGGAGTAACTGGCAATAAAGAAAATTATGATTATCCATTATTTCTATAGTGCAAAGATTTTGCACAGAGGACTGCAGAGGGTATGACAATGAGCAGTATGTACAGTAAAGAGCTTTGGAGGTATAACAGGGGGCATACCTCCAACCAGCAGTGCAGTTGGGCTTTGTTGCTTTGGAGAGATAAATCCGCTATAAAATCTTTAATATCTGACACTTTCGGGAGTGTTGGAAGCCTGGCATCTCTTTCTCCCACACCTATATCACTATAGTGATAGGATTTAGGTGCACCCTGAAAACCCATCTCTTCAGGGAAGAATACCCCACCCTCACTTAACAGCCGATCTCCTCCACTCCTCCTACCATTCCATCCCCCACAGCCACTTCCTCCTGTACCACTATCCCCTATCTCCTAGATTGTGAGCTCGAAAGAGCAGGGCCCTTGAACCCCTCATGTTTTGTTTTGTTACTGTATAGTCTCATGTTCTGCCCCCCACTATAATGTACAGCGCTGAGCAAACCTTTTGGCGCTATATAAATACTGTATAATAATAATAATATAGCAGTGACGTAGCAATCAGAGAAAACAACCACAGCATCCAGTGGAAGCCCAGATATCTGAAACTCCAAGAAATGTGATAGATGCTGAAGATGTTTCAGTCAGCATAGTGAGAATTAAAAAAAAAAAAGTGACAGAGTCACTTTAAAGAGTAACTGCCATGTCGAAAAAATATTTCCACTCTGGGTGACCAATGTACATTGCAGGAATTTTAAGAACCTATGTTGCAGATTTCCACCATTTGTATGTCTGTGTCCATGTGCAGAGTGAATCTGTAAGGAAGTGATTTAATTACCAATCTCTAGGCTCTAATGAGGAAAATTTCAGAGTCTGCATTCCTTTAGACATGATTTCCCTTTGGGAATATGACCTTTTTTTGTAGGAGATGCCTAAAATCTGACATATCTGTCAAATCTGGACTCCTGGGAAAATCAGTGAGCCATTCACACAAGTAGGAAATGAAATTTCTGGGGGCATTCTATACACCATCTGTGTACAGGACGCCTCCAGGTTGCCATATTGCTTTGCATTTTGCAAAAAATTACAGCAGTGCAGATTGAAAAGGAAAGTTCATTTTTAATAATGCTATATTACAGTATTACTTGTGTCACAATTGTATACGCTCTTTTATTTTTTACTTTCTATTTTTTCCCACAAAAGTGGAGTGACCCTTTAAGTCAGAGGTGAGCTGGTAAAGGGAATTCATATAAATACTTTGAAATGTTTTCGAAATATACCTTTTGAACTTCTGCTGAGAATACATCCTCTAGATGTGTAGCAAAGCCTTCACTTATCCATTCTTCTGTCCAATCACGTGCACCAATGGCCAACCCAAACCAAGCATGTGCAATTTCATGGCTGACACGTGTCATGCAAAGCTGCTTTCTTCCAGACAGAACACTCTGAGACAGATAGATAATGTGTGGGCTGGATCATAAAAATAAAGAGCAAATTACATATTAGGTGGCAGTCTTGTTGCAGCATGAACATCTCTGCTATTTATGTGTTCCTTATTCGTTATGTCAATTCATTATTGTTAGTATGTGGATGCCAGGTTCTGACAAGCCCTTTGCAGCATAGGCATCCTTAACAAGGTTTAAAAAAAAAAAAAGGCTCACTTTCATTCGAGCAAAATTCAAAGCTAAAATTGACAATTAAAAAATGTTAATACTTTATATTAATACAATTTGAAAATTGTTTCCCTCCACAAGATACACAAAGCATCAATTAAATTACGTTAAATGAAAAAAATTTAGTGAAACGGAAAAATCATTTTGGTTTATACAGTTTCCATATACAGTAATTTTACTCAGAAGTAATAGGTTTGCCAATATCATAATTTAGTGATGGTAAGTGCTTACAGAGCCGCAGTGATTAATGTGTAGCAGCTGAAATGCATTGGTGGTTGCCTGTATGTGATTTAACTTTCTGGCAAATAAAGAGGTTTTAAACACATATCCAAAGTGCTGTTTGTCTGGATGTACTAATTGTGTTTGCAGAATTTTTAATATAATTGTGCTGAACAGTGAAATTTAGAGCAAGGAATAGCAACTAAACTGCAGAATTTGTAACATGCTAAAAACATCTATTTGCATACACCAAGTGGGTACCAACACGTGCAAATTTTGCTAATGAAAACCAACTTAACTTTAATTCATACTATTAATATTTTTCGTCACTAGGAAAAGGAAACTGTGACGATCGCCGTGTCAGACCCTAGCCCTTTTCACCAAACTCGTGACCGAAGGACTAGCCGATCTAAAACCGTGCGGTCACGTGCGTAACAATGCCACGCCCATCTGCACTTTGCCCAAAGATTTTCCAACTAATGGACCACAATCTGTGTATCTGCAGCCTGGGAGCGATTGTTACTGGGTCAGGTTAATTAATTAATTACACAATTAACCCTTCACACTGCCACCACCTCCTTTTTGTACGAGAAAGAGGAAACTCGGCAATATCAACACTATGATGTTGCATAAGTGTTGGTATACCACTATCATCGCAGGCAGAGATATACCGAAGTTTAAAACACACACACAGTAGCGCTCTTCAGAGGCAGGGGTTCTTAGTTTGCATTAAAGAGCTTTAGAAACAGTTCAACACTTTCAGAAAGTAAAATTTATTACTAAAAGGTCAAAAGGGTGCAATAAAAACATTTACAGAAAAAGATGTAGCCAATATATATATATATAAATATACAGAGAGCAATAGCACAGCAAAGAGATAACAGAAAGAAGGTTAGAGGGATAAAGCACTTGCCGTCAGCCTTGGTTTAAGCAGATCAGGTTTCAGAGCCAAAAGGATGCCTTATCTCCCACAGTTAGTTCCGATGTTAAAAGGGAGAATCTTCAACTTCACTTAACTCAGCTTAGCTCAGCTTTTTCTAGGAACTCAGCAAGGTGTCTCCTTAATGCAGAGAACCAATCGCCTCATTTGAGGAGGGGTGTTGGGGCAGAGACCCAAGCTAGAACCAAAAACTTTCCCAGTTGATGTCATGGTTCATAACATATTCTCGGTGCATTTAGCAACCTGGCCACTAGTAGAGTAATATGCAGACGCATCTGCTGAATGGCTAAGTATGAAATATGACATACCTGCTTGGATGGTTAAGGAGATATAATTTTCTGCTCTCCTGGATATGCCAGCTAGGGGGTGTAATATATCAGGCGACTTGTATTAAAGTGAGCCATCCGAATATGTGCTTATATCCTAATATGTAATTATATCCTATTTGAAGATATAAAATTATATGGAAAAGTGAGTTTTTAAATGTAAGTCTGTTTTTACGACTACCTGGAATGTCTTTGAAGCTCAATGAGGGCTTGGTTTATGGTTTTATGATCCCTTCTCCAGCAAGAGTCACGCAGACATAGGGGCACCAGCTAGTGGGGTTTATAGCCATGACACCCTCCCAATGAGTTTGCTGCCTGTGATCTCTGTCATCATCCAGACCACCTGTCACTCAACAGAGAGGGAGGGGGGATATCGGAGGAATCTGATTTGGGAGAGAGAGATACAAGATGGAGGGGTTTGGAGCAAAATGGATGACCGCGTCCATCTGTGTGCATGATTGCTACAGAAACTGTATTCAAAGAAACCTAAATGCATGTTCGGCAACTCAACATGCATTTTATTCTATGTGAAAAAGACCTATGCCCTAAATGCATACAAATATTACAAAAAACAGCATTAATGAATAAATAAGTGAAATGCATCCAGATTAAACACTGCTGCCACCTTAAAATGAAATAAATCATATAAACAATAAATGAACCCTAAGTGATTCAGTGGTGCTGTGAACAAAAATCAATCTTAAAGTGATAAAGAATAAAAGGTAAAAACTCCAATGGTGCAGTACAAATAACACCTTTTATTAAATTAATGCAGACAGCCACTCACAAGATAACTGAAAAAAACACACCTGTAGATAATATATATGGTAGTGTGATGGAATGCAAGCAGTGCTCTCACCACTGCCGGATCCCAAACAATGGTGCTCTCGCGTCACTTCCAGTTCCGGTCCAAGACTTCACTTCCAGTCGCCGCACAGCCTAACTGTGACGCGTTTCGTCACTTACGACTTAGTCACAGGGACTGCACCATTTGAGTTTTTACCTTTTATTCTTTCATGGCCATTGCATCTGGGGGAGAGGAGCAGGGAGGATTGTGGATATGCTGATATTGTCACATTACCTTCCCATTTGGAGTTTTTCAAAGTGATATATGCCGACCATGAGAGTAGGAGGCATGGAAATTTGGTGAGTGTATACCCAAAAGGGGAACACTTTTTCTTGAACACATGGTGATTTCGGTTTTGGGAAGTAAACAGAAGATTGTCACGTAGGAATTAATTTATGGACTTTTATTTAATCAGTTTCTTATCAATTTTATAATTTGTCACTTTAAGACTGATTTTTGTTCACAGCGCCACTGAATCACTTAGGGTTCATTTATTGTTCATATGCATTTTATTCTGACTAGTCATGCAAGTATAGATGTGCTCCATCCGAATGTCAAAAAGACCACTTAGCATACTTGCTGCTCAAATGCTTAAATAATATGAATTAGCCACAGAAAGTCTACTGTTTTCAATTACACAGGTAGATTTGCATAAGAGATAGAGATGTATATAGATAGAAAGTGAAAAGGGAGAATTATAGTATGTTTGCCAGGCCCTGCGCTCCACTTTTAATCCCAGCTGGCCGAACAATTTTTGCAATTTTTTCATTGCTTTTTATTTTTTTTTCCCTAGAGCTTTTAAAGTTTGTAAAAGACACCCTAAACCATATATTTTCTGAAAGCACATGCCCAGTAGAATAAAAAGAAGGTGGCACTGATCTTTAGGGCCCCATGATATTTGCGCAAATATTTATCAAAGCAGTATTTTCACTAAAAATATACTAAAATCATCATTAGCAGATACAAACACAGCAAATTTTACAAAATTCCTGCTAGATTCCTACTGAATATAAAAGCTTAATTTATATTGAGTTAATAAATAACCAATATTTGGACATTTTAAATTGCACCTTTTTGCGAAACGGTGAAAAATTAACGTATGCAAAACTGTAAATAACCCAATTTCTCTAAAAATCTGGAGGTTTTCATTTTTTATTTACAGTTTTCAAAATTTGTAAAAGACCCCCAAAACATATATTTTTCTGAAAGTATATGACCAGTAAAATAAAAAGGTGCTACTGATTTTCAAGGCCCTGTGATAATTGTGCAAATGTTTATCAAACCAATATTTTTGCTAAAAATACACTAAAAGCATTATTAGCACCAGCACCAGCTGCTTCCCCCTCTTCTGCCAGCACCAATCTCCATGGTTTTATGCAATTGTCAGCTTCCTCCCGCTGCCTCTTCTGGCGGCATTTGCATCCAGCCACAGTGCTCAGAAATGTAAAAAAAAATCTTAAAATTAATCTTCTCGCTGTGACCCCCCCCCCTCACCGATCTCCAGGGGCCCCGTCCATGCAACTCTGCTAGCCGGCTCTCCCTCCACCCTCTCCTGCTGGCTGCAGCTGCTGCCTGGGAGACCGGATAGTGCCAGGATGGAGAGCAGAGGGGCTGGTAAACGTGTTTACCAGCCGCCTTATATCCTGAATGAACAGAGCGATCGGTACCGATCACTTCTGTTCATTCATTACTGAAGTATAAAACGTATATATAAACAGAAATTAAGATTTTTTTTACATTTTTGAGCACTGTGGCTGGATGCAATTGCCGCCAGAAGAGGCAGCGGGAGGAAGCCAACAATTGCATAAAACCATGGAGATTGGTGCTGGCGGAAGAGGGGGAAGCAGCTGGTGCTGGGGGTGAGAAAGGTGCTGAATGGGGGAAATCAGTGGCAGAGGAAGGGGTCAGTAAGGGGGGTGAGGGCATTTTAGCAGCCAAGGCAGCAGGTTAGGTAGAAGGACAGAGAGCAGTAGTTGACAGGCAGACGGCGGTGGGTGGAGGTGGAGGGTGTAACATTGTAGGTGAATAGCTCTTATCAGCAGATTGTCATCTGCTGATCAGAGATATTGTTTTCTTCAGAAGAATCTGGAGCTTATATAGCAGGAGGAGGAATCAGGTCTGTATGGCATACGGACCTAGTCAGCAGGAAGCCCTGCCAGTGAAAGGGTTATAAAGAAAGCTGAATCTGCAAATGCAATGAGCTGTTATGGCCACACCATGTACATTTATACATTATGCCTAAAAATAAGCATTGTGAAGCTAAAACATGTACGGATAACATGAAAACAATGTATTTTTTTTTATTTTTTTAAATTGGTTATTTTTTTTACATTTAAAACAGGAAGCTTTCAAGATTTTGTGTTTGCAGAGCATACTGGGCTTTCTATTAGAAAGCTTAAGGTTGGTTTCACACCGGTGTGCTGCAGTTTGACTGCAGAACAGTTGTATCCTCAATTTTTGTGTGCTTCACCTGTGGTCCCAT